TCTAATTTTGCACAAATATGAATTTTTAAAAACATTTCAAATTTCGATTTATAGTAGAGCTATTTAACAGTATTTACTTTTATATTTTCTAATTAATTCATTCATATTTAGCAGTACTGATGGAATAGCGGCATTCAAGCTCTCTATGCACATTTCATGTTCATCAGATTAATCTCAATTGAAATAAAGCTTTAAGAAACTCAATAAGTCAATGTAACATCACTCATCAACCAATGCATGTTGTTGGGCAATCACAGCTAATTTAAATTAGTATCAGTATGCTTTAGACAAAATGAATAAAGTGACATTTTTCCCCTATTAGTGCGCCTATTAGGGGGACCGTTTTGCAGCTCATTAAATGTAGGTTTTCATCCCAGCACTAAATGAAATGAAAGTAGTACAAAGGAATCGCTTTTTTGCTGTTCCTTAATAGATTTATAAACAATTAGCCACATTCCAGATCTCTATATTCAAATATAGCACGAACCTGCATCCCACCACTTGAGGGCACACTATCGCATTCCTGAATATTGATACTCATACGGCTATTTCTAAATATAAACCAAATAGGTCGTTAACATACAGTACGTCAAGAATTAAACAATTCTTACCTAGAATGTCTATGTATAGAATTGGAGTGCAGACTAAACAACATTACATATTCTAATGAACTATTTTAAACAAGTGCATATTATCTGTAGATTGCAAGGAAGTTAATCAAACACTGGACTATAATTATAGTTGTAACATATTTTCAAATGTTTTGAAAATATCACACCTGTAACTGTTTGCCATTTTGACCACAGAAGAATTTGGAAATTAATGGTTTACTTTCGTTTAAAGATATTTGTGCGAGTACAAGGCCACAGACTCCATCCAATTTGCAATTTAACCCGAAAAGGCTGTGTGGACAAGCCAAAACAATTGAAACCTCGTTCCTAATGGCATGGAACAGCGGGGGTGGGGCAACGGGAGGGCTTTCATTACCTCAGTTCAGTGTTACAAACAAACAACCACACCTATTGTTGTTGGGGTCATCACATTTATTTTACCCTCAAATAAAAAGGGTCAAAAGCCACTGAGAATGTTCTGAGTTAACAAATTCAATTAGTAGCTATACCAAAACCTCCAAACAGTGATCAACAACCAGGCCTTGCTTTCTGCACGAAACAATAAAAATTAAACATTTGACTACCACCAGGTCTGTTGAAGACACGCTTAAACTGGGAACACAAATGGAGGTTTTTTTTAAAAGAAAAAGGCTTATTGACCCGAAAACAAAACAAAAACACAAAATCCAAAAATGAGTATGCTGGCTCCAATTTGGAGTATGTAGCTTTTGTTGTTTGGGGAGATATAAAAAAAATAAAAGCACTGTCACGTCCAGTCATGTGAATTAAGCAAAATCAATTTCTTTATTTGATATTTCAACTGATCATACCAGAGGGTTTTCTCAGCTTTGCCCACCAGATGATCTGGGAAATGAACGGGCTCATGTAAAAAAAAAGACATCTCAGGTCACAAAGGAACATGACTTTAAAAATACTTTAATGTTACTTTAGATTTAGCAATTGCACAGGCTCCAGAATGTAGATGGGTTATCAAATGAGTGACCAACTGGCAGAAGCAAAGAAACCATGATTTTGAGGCCACAGTATTCTTTACATCAATCAAGTGAGATGCAGGGCACCCAGCAGAGTTTACTGGACTAAGGCTGATCAGTATAAGCCTGTATTTTTGACAAGGGAAGGCTGGGTAAAGAAACGACGTGTGCATAACACAGCGAAGTAGGTGCAAGAGGTACTTTGCTGCAGCATAGCTGTGGCTCAGGCTCGAGTCCCATGAAAATCACTTCTGACATACTGTTGCTTGGGTCCATCACCTGTACAACTGATCAAAACACACTCCACAGACCTTGATCCATTTTGTTAAGACTCCAATCAAGATCAATTACATTATTGGACCAATCTGCACCTTAAAAAAGGCCTATCATTTCTTTTGGGCTATCACTAATGGCACCAAGGAGGCCCCTTTCAAAAGGAGAGACATGTCAAAGTTAAAGATTCAAATCCAATATATGCTCAGCTTCATTGACTCAACTCTGCAAAATGAAAATTAGCATCTTGCACTCAGTGGACCAACACTGGACTTGACAAAATATTCTAAGCAATCCCAAACTTTACTGCAGACCTTTTTTCCTATCTAATTTATGGGTTTGACAAATTACCAAAACTAAAATGAACAACCAGCACTAGAGAAAAGAATACTCTTTTCATCCTCCCCTCACCCACTGTGCCTCTTCCCCCACCCCCCACATACATGACACCAGTGGTGGATAGATATTACAATTGCACCTGCTGCAGAGGCACATGCACAAATAACACAATTGTGCAAATAATTTAGTGTTTCAAGTTTCTGATTGCATGGGGGTGGGGGTGCATGCTTACAGATACCTAAATCAGTACAATCAAGTAATTAGAAGCAAATGTAACAGACCCAGGTGAAAAAATAACACTTGCCCCACCATACCCTATGTGTTCAGCTGAATTGAAGAATCAGCTTGTGTTCCTACCAGAGTTGTTAAATCTAACTGAATAATTTAGTATTCAAGCTTTTTACATTCCAAATACACAGCTAAGAACAAACTGCTGCTACCTTTTACTGTATAAAAGTGCCAAAGTCTTCTCCTGCTGTCTCCAAATCTAACCACTTCCTTACGATTTGACATCTTCACTGTTCCATCTTTGAAATCCAACAGCTATTTGATGTGCCATACAATTTCAACACGGGTAACAATGAGCATTTGTAATTAAAAACATTAAATCTGTCATACTATCCTTTCACACTGATGGTTGGTTAATGTTTGGCTCGAGAATTACATTCCAAAAAGAAAGAAGTGCCACTTCATGGAAAAGATCAGGAAAATTGTTTAAGGGTCTAATAGTAAATTACAAACAGGAACAGACTCCAGTAACAATTGTAGGAAGCTTAAAAAGCAATGTCTATGAATGTAGAAAGCAATGAATCAAGTTTACATTTATCCAGAAGAGAACTGTACCATTTGGGTTATAGTGTTTCAATTTGAAGTAAAGTGCATTTATTCATCTTAAAAAAAGTCAAAATTGAAGCTTTAATTTGCCAATTGTAAGGAATTAGGTTTGTGTTAAGTAATACTGTAGGCATGAACACTTGTTAGCCAATTCAGTCAGGCACACAGCTTGTTTTAAACCAGAACACAAAAAGTTACGGTACTAAATATTTTCACATGAAACTATGCTGAATTGTCATTTTAACCTGTGAAAAATGGAGGCAACAGAACATTTGTTACATATTTCAAGCATACTCATTTACAAGATCCAGGAATATGTTAAAACAGTTGAAGCACAGGGTGATTAAATCCACAATTATTTACCTTCAGTAAATAATTCCCTGTGATTTTTTGCAAGGCACTGTAGTTCAAAATGGTAGACTAATGTAGTTCAAGTTACTCATTACCCAATAAATGCAAGTCTACTTTAAAGGAAAAGATTACAAATTTTCTAAAGCACCTTTCTTTGAGCCCAATTGCCCCCACAAAAACTTACTTTGCAAACCACTTGGGGGGAAAAAAAAAACCCTGCTTTGGTTGGGGAAGATGGAAGACATCACAAATGAACCACCACAAGCCAGGAACAGTCTTCAGATCTATAATATGCCACATCACCACCCTTGTTTCATGTTCTAAATCTTGGCATGGCATTGTACATAACAGTTTAAGTACTTCCAGAATGTGTAAAAAGGTTCATTCATGCACATTTTTTTTTTTTTTTTTTAAAAAGAGGTGATGACATTAAAAGTGTTGAACCTACGAAAAAGACAGGTTTCCTGAAACATTGCTTATTTGAATATTGTAGGGTGAAAAACATTTAAGAAAATGGTGTGTAAGGATGAAAAGAGTATTAGCAATGCAGTATGCTTCTCTATCCACTCACCCCTCCCCCAATTGTTGTTATCTAGTCAACTGATCAAGCAACTGCATTACTAGATCATAATGGCCCAACAAGGAAAAAAAAACTAACTTTATGTATAAACTCCAGCTGTATCACCAGAAAAGCTAATACACACTTCAATCTTATTCTGCAATGAGCACCAAATGAATGTAAATTTAAGTATACTAACTAGATACTATTAACCAATTCAACATGAGATTCTATCTATCTTCGGTCGTCAAGATTGTAGCTTTGCTATGTAGCATGGTTGGCTTCCAGACAGTACAAGCCTCAAAGTCCACATTCAAAGGGAAGGTATTAAAACTGTTCATCTACACAAAAAAAAAATCCACTTTTTTTAAACTGGAGTCAACATATGTCCAAAAAGGTTAACAAAGAACTAATGCATTAAGGAGTGTATTGTCAGTTAAACTACAAGTTTAAAATAATTTTATTAACTGGGTAGAGTGCAACAGGGATGGGCAGTAATCCAGTTTGCATATTCTGGTGTCTTCAAAATTCAAGTAATTATTTACATTTCAAGTTCAGATTCAATGTCAATTATTACCGTCCATCTGTGGAGTGGTGCTGTGTGCTCATCTGCTTATCACTGGAGGAACCCCAATATATAACATCTCTTAAAATGAAAATGCAGATCAGGAGTTTGAGTCATCTGAATGAAATCTTGCAAATACCAAATGGTTTTCTGCCTCTTCAGGAATCTAATTTGTTTTTTAAAAAACAAAAAAAAGGTTAAGTCCATAACCTTTTAAAATCAAAAATACACCTCAAAACATCCAATTTTAGTATGAAGTTGCACCAAATAAGTGCAGTGAATAAAAGCATTAAAATTTTAAACATTACATTTGATTCATCTTTTCCACCTCAGTCTCAACTCGCCTTTAAGTGGTCAGTTAAAGATACCTTTTATATTGGCCCTTTTCAGCTGTGATGTAGCAAATTGTTCGATAATTTGTGTGACCATGAACAGCCTCAAACTTCAAAATGAGCAGAGTAATAAAATACACTAAGTTGAAACTTTATTCACATTTATTTTTGCTTTTAGTGTGCTCACAGAAAATTAGAACACCTTAAGCAGAGAAGTTTAATAGCAATTTTGTAAGCAAAGTTACATTCCATTTCTAAATCAAATTGGTCAAAGCTTCTCCAGTATTTACAAAAAACTATGATAGACAAGATGCTACACAAAACGCATTGCATCTGAAGAGTTTTCCCAATTGTCAAAGACGGCTGAAAAAAAGCATTGACTGCTGTAACCAAACATACAACAGTATATAAACAGCAACCATTCCACTTATCACAGCTTTTCATTTAAAATTGTTTAAAAGATCTTCCAAGATGACGGCAATTTTACAAAATGGGCAGGGTGAAGAGTTGCAAACTTCATGTGCTTCTTGATATTAAGTTTTCATTTATACATAATCACAGTTAAAAACACCCTGCTGTAATACATAATTACACTTTAAGGTCATGAACCAGCAATAAACAATAACGCCTATACAACTTGCTTTTTTTTCTTCTACTTATCACTTGACTTGTACAGCTAAAAATGAGATAAGTGAAAAGTTTCTATGATTTTAATGCATTACTAAAACTATTGATTTTCTGACAGATTTCCTTGCTTTCTTGTATTCAAGACTTAGTGTTGTAAACTGTATGGATTACTTTTGTCAGATTTGCAATTTTTTTTTAAAAAGACAAATCCTTTACATAATTAGTTTGTGGCACATTTACTTGGCAACTACACCACTGCATTGTGGTTCCAATATTACTTCATTTACATTTTACCCAGGATTTACCCACCCAGATTATCCACACCATTGGACATGTCCATATATTGATCAAAAGGTTTAAACTTTTGTATAAAATGATGCAAAATATGCAAAAACAGTAATACTGATGCAAAAAAATGACAGAGCGAGATTTGGGGCTCATCTCTGCCTGTTGGAATGGTGGTAACAGAACGAATGTAATGGGATTTTTTTTTATTTTTTAAAAAATAAAAAATGCCTTTAAAATCCCTGGTTAGACAGTTCTCCAAACCAGTACCTGGCACCACTCCAACAAACAAACATGGAAAAAAGGTCCTTTGATTATCACTCCAGTTTTGGGCTTCTCTGTTTTACTCTGCCGAGTCGGTAGTTGGTGGCACTGGACTGGACTCGGATGGTACCTCCTGTGGTACAGCTGGCTCTGGTGCTGCTGCCTCTTGCTCAGTAGTTGTGGAGGCTTCGGCGTTGGGAGCTGGGTTAGACAAGGCTTGCTCCGCTGTCGGTTTCTCTTCGTCGGTCTTGGCTTCCTCGGGGGCTTTGGCTTCCTGTACGTCCACGCTTTCGGGAGCAGTCTCTTCGGGCTTGTCGTCTTGCGAGGCGCCGGTCTCCTCCTCCTTTTCCTCCGAGTTGGCAGAAGCTGCCGCAGGCTCGGTAGCCGGGGCCGGGGCGGTAGCATCGCCTTCCTGGCTGGGTTTGGGTTCCTCTGTGGTGCCGGCCTCTGCAGCAGCAGCGGCGGCGGGAGTAGAGGCACCTTGATCCTTCTCTTCCTCAGAGGTGGGGGCGGCAGTAGGAGGAGTAGGAGTAGCCGCCGGTTCGTTGTCGGCGCTCTCCCCGGTCTCCTTCTTGGTTTTCTTGAAGGAGAAGCCGCTGAGCTTGAAAGACTTTTTGAAGGAAAAGCGTTTCTTCTTCTTCTTCGGGGTCTCGCTGTTAGCAGGGCTGGCGGCCGAGGTGGAAGCAGGGGGAGCCGCCGCCGCTTCCTCGCTCTTCGCCGCCGCCTCGCCCTCCGCCGGGGATCCGCTCTCCGCCGACTCCCCGTTCGTCTCTTCAGGCTTGGCCGCAGCCGGGGGTGCGCTGCCGCTGGCCGGCTCGCTGGTCACCGGAGGAGCTGCGGCCGCCTCCTCTTTACTCTCCTCGGCCGGGGTGGCCCCATTCGCCTGAAGCTCCTCTTTCTCCACGGGGGGCGGCTCAGCGGCGGAACCTGCGGCGGAGGCTGCGGCTGGAGACGCGTCTCCGTTCACCTTCACATGGCCGTTCTCCTACACAGGAGGGAAGAGGAGGAGAGAAAAATACACACAAAATGGTGGTTTATTAGCAGCGACAGGATAGGAGAGAGGTGACACACACACACAAAATGACCCGACAAACTTACTTTAAAACAAATGTGACAGGAAGGAGTGGAGGATTTAGAAGGGTTGGGGGGGGGGGGGTTGGTAGTGGAGGAATAGGGGTAAATTCTACAACCAACCAACCAACTTCCCTCCCTCCCCAGGTTGCTGAGTGAAACATTACAAA